ATGATCGAAGAAAACTTGCAAGCGTGATGCAATTCCTCCATACTGTAGGTGGGCAACATGCTTTCAAGCCTGTGCTGAACATGCTGAAGGATGCAGGGCGTCTGTTTCGAACTGACATGCATTGCGATCAGGCATGCCTGTCTTCGGTATATTTTCGGCCATCCACGATCCTGTAAGCTGTATGCTGCGCATGAAGTAGGCGAGTGTGTCTAGCTGTCGAGCAATGTCGAATCCTGCCAGTCCTCCTGTGCCACCGGGACGAAGTCCGCCTCGGAGGCGGGTTTGTAAGAGATTGCAGCACGCTGCAGCAGCACACATGATGATTTGGCAAAAGACACTGTAGCTAATTGAAATGAGCAGAGCCCCACATCTTGTCATCTCTGGCTGTGCTTGATGCAAGCTGTTGCAGGCCGAGAGAGTTGGTCGCATTGGCGAGGCCATGCGACGTTGACAGTGGCCATGCACGGACTGTCCAATCGTTTCCAACTGGACTTCGAAAGGCACTCCAGGTCGAAGTTGCAGACCTCTTGCGCTTCAAGACCTCCACGACGACTTGGGAGAGGCCCCTTCCAAACTCACTGGGCGTGAGATGGCATGAGCTCCACTCGGCAGCGAGTGTAGGCTCCAGGAGCGTGCGAGGACACGTCTGCAACAGCTGCAGCAGGATGCTGAAGCTCAGCCAGCCGCCCTGTACACCTTTGTTGCAGAGTCCTGCATTCTCAAAGCACTTGCTCATGCTCTCTGAGTCTTTTCGGTGCCTTCGCAGGCCGCCTCCGACGCAATGCTCCGTTCGGTGCAGCAGAAGATCGGAAGGCACCGGCCCTGGGAGCCAGGAAGTGGATCTTCGAGGTTTTGCGTTTGAAGATGCTTGAAGGTTGCTGGCCGAGATCCACAAGCTGGAGGCATTCCAATCTTTGCCAGGCTTTCGGTTCCTGTCAGGAAGATCGTGACTTCCTACAGGCTGAAACTTCTGTGGCCCAGATCCTCCAAAGTGAGGCGAGCTGGGCACGTCGACCGGGTGGCTACCTGCAAGCTACCTTGATCAGCTGCAGCGCTTGCAGGCACTGTCGCTACCAGGCAACGGCATTGATGCCCCTGAAAATTCGGTACAAGCTAGCATCACGACTTGGTTGGCCCACTGGTTGAATTAGTTTCTCTTGCAGCGTCAGGGAAGCGGCTACTGCATTCGTGCCAACACAAGGCGTAGCCAGAAGCCAAGCTCTCAGAGAATCGACATCGACTCCCTGAGACCATGCGGTCCTGTTTGGTGTGTGTATGTTCGCCAGTATGGTTATCATTGTCGTTATCACTAGTCTCATGATTATTGGTACTGCTATTGTTATGATTATGATGATGATTATTCTTGTTCTTGCTTAGTATTAGCAGTCTTATTGCCAAGCTTAACGGATGTTTTCAGGTCACTTGCATCGAGAGAAGGATGGTGGCCACCCCGTGGAAGCATGAGGACGCTCGGACCCTCGGTCTTGCCGAACGCTCGTGCAGGTCATGCAGGTCTCAAGTCGCTGTAGCAGGGATGGCTCAGCCGAGGTCATGGTAAAGCACGTAGGGTTGGCCCTCGTATGGTGCGCTTGAGGACTGCGATGGATCCATCTTGGCTCAAGCCACTAGGATCTGATTTTTCCGGGCCTTCCTTTTCTTCCTCTTGTCCGACTTCGTCTCGGAACTCCGGCCCTTTGAGAACAGGATGTTCCTTTCGGCGGTGGCTGCTCTGCTCTTCATGCCCCTCTTGGCGGCTGCAAAGATGGCCGTGGTCCGCGTCTTCGCGACCGATGAGGAGGCGACTCTTCCTTGTTGTTACATTGTTCAAGTCTGAATCGAAAGGGTCGTGATAGCTTCTAGGCTTCGGGATTTAAAGGGTCTTTAAGAAGGTTTCAGGATTCTGTATGCTCGCCAAGTGCAGGTCGCGTATCTGACGGAATCCTACTCGGCGTGGGAGTCGATGTTGCCATGTGCAAACCCCAACCCGAACAGCAACGTTGACTTGATCCTGGCTTACAGCAAGGACCTTGCCGCGGACTCCACGGCCAAGGCGGCAGTCCAGTCCTATGAGACAGGCTTTGCGCAGAGTGAGCACTGGACCCGCTGCTTCGCGGGCATCAAGAATTTCTCCGCCATGCTTGCCCCGGAGGAAGACCAATATGATGAGCAAGGTTATGCCATGAACAAGCACTGGGTCTCAGGCCCCAACATGATCTTCAAGCATGTTGTGGAAGCCATGTTCATTGGTGCCTTTGCCGGCGAGTACGACAGCTTCTTCTGGATGGAAATGGATGCTGTTCCTGTCATGGCGAACTGGCTGGACAAGTTTGTGGAAGAGGCTGCAGAGATGCCTGCAATGAACATGGCTATCCGTGGCAGCCCCTACTATGGAGCCAACTGGCTCATGTTCTCAGACATGATGCCTGGCTATTTGCTGAACCACGTCAACGGCAATGCCATTTACAACCTCCAGCACCCCTGGACGAAGTTCCTGTTCGACACGTTCACTGCGGTGGACAATGCTGCCTTGATGGAGGAGATGGCCTTCGACACGGCGTACTCGGCGATCACCAGAGCTGCTATGGACGGCTCCAACACCATGCTCGCAGCTGCGTGGGCAGCTAGCAACGGCTCGGCCATGACCTACAGCTCTGACACCATGCTGATCGGTAACTATGCCAACACTTTGCTGAACAGCAGCTACGAGGTTGGGGCACACATCCGCCACGGCTCGAGGCACAACATTTTCGAGAGTCTGGCGGGTGACATGGTCACGCTGGGAGTTCTAAGCATCGATGGGGATAACGGGCGCATGCTGAGCAGCATGTCGAGCAACCACCCCTTCAAGAAGGTCCACATGCTGACGCACTACCCAGTAACGACATCCACCGAGACCATCGAAGCACCAGGTGGCGACGTCACGCTGACCATCGAGAAGGCTGAACACGGCCCGCTCATGCACATCTGCGAGGTGGCAGGCAAGGTGACAACTCCCTGGTTCGCAGTGGCAAGCAACCTGCACCACATCAATGCGCCGGTGAGTGTGCTCATGCGCATGGGCGAGCCTGTGATGCCGTATGTCCTGGCCACCTCGCCCTACTGTGCCAATCGACCGTACTGCAAAGCCTCGTTGGATCAAGCGGAGGAGCTTTTCGGCATCTCCCTGAACTACCACCATGACCCGAACGAGGTGCTTTACAAGGCGTCCGAAGTCGTGACTTTCTGTGATGCTTGGATGACTGCCGTTGGCAACAAGACTATGGAGACTTGCGACATGGTCTTCGGCCCCACAGCGGATGACTTTGTGGCTTGGAAGCTCGCCATGGGAATGAACGTCACCGGCGTTCCGAGGGACAAGACACGCTACGGCTGGAGGTCTTGGACGAGCCTTTGGGCTCCGATGCCCGTGGATGAAAGAAATTGCTCGACCACGGTGTATGGCGAAGCAGAGTACATGGAGGCACTCTCGCTTATCTCGAATTGCAGCCTCTATGTGGAGAACGCCTCTGCCTGCGACGGAGACGCCATGTGCTATTGGAAGCCGATGTTCGAAACCGGTGTCTGCGCCATCGATACGTCGGGCACGAACACGGTCGTGGAGTTCATGGCCCCTCCAACTACCACCACTGACGAGTTTGAGCAGATTTCTAAGACTTACGTAGGGACGACCGTTGTTGGCGTGGCTTTGGCTCTGTGCATGGCTTTGATGGCCTGAGCATCATAAATGAGCCCATGGCTGCCCAATTGTATATGATGCTGGAGGGGGGTTGCAGACGTG